GCCCCCCCGGGCTCCAGGGGAACTGCTGCTGGCCCTGGGTGGCCGTCCCGCTCTGCCTCACTGCGCCAACCACCCCCAGCGGCTGCCGGGTCCCGCTCTGACTGATTCTGCAGAGGTGGTAGCTGCAGCCTTGGGCCTCTGTGGCATATCCCTCCAGTGCGGCCTTGTCCTCTGACCTCTTCAGAGGAAACCTGTAAGCTTAGGAGGGCCTACTGAGAAATTTATCACTTGATACCGTTGGGCTTTCATACCTACCCCAGCGTGAGTTGTAATTAAAGGTTATCTGGCCCAGACCAGGCCTCTGACCACGTGCTGGCCATTTCTCATGATAAACAATTCTGCAAAATTGCCTTCCGGTGACAAGGACATCACTTCCAAACTTAAAAGACGTACAAGACATACATCAGCTGATTGTGTGTGCATCAGCTTCAGTACATGAGATGCTTCAGTCATACTATAAGTATGTATGTTACCTGTCATTTTTCGTTTTAAAAAGCCCTTCCAAGCTATTCCGTTCTCTTAGTTTCTTGAATAGATCTGCATATTTTATCATTCCCCTTGTGATGCAATTATGCTTTATGGAAGTCCTTTTATGAGCGAACTGAAGTTTTCTTAAACCTGTCACAACTTCTGTTTAAGTCAGTGGGAATTTTGCCTTTGAAAGGAAAGGGGGAGCAGTTTGGGCTTAGAAAATAACTATTTCAGCAGAGCAGCAGCAGCTGCAGCTTTTGTTATATTCTATCCTGTGTGTGATATATGGGACTTTAAAATACAGACACACAGATCATTCCAGTTGGACACAGACTACCTTAATCAGTTAAAATGACCCATCTATGTGTGGAGAGATAAAAATACAAAATTATTATTTTACACATTAGGAAGGTACAGCAAAGGCGAATTAGATTATTTAATCAAGGTTACGTCATGGAGCTTGGAGGACAGTTACATACTCCTGCTACTCAGCCTTGTATTTAAAACTAAACCTTGACTACAACATCTATTGTAAAGCCACACAAATGTCTCTTCAACTGGCACTCAAATGCAGATCACTGAATTAGGCAGTTCTACTAATTCTTTGATCTTGTGGTAAAAATGAAAACAAGTATGTTTATCAACCAGCCTCCAGGATTTTAGAATAAAATCAATCCAAATTCAGTGCAAGTGAAGCTCAAGTTAATGTATCCTTTGGATTCGCACAGCAGCTCCCAAAGCCTCACAACTGGCAATTTATAGGCTTAATTTATTGACAGACATCATATGAGATCAGATTTTTTAACCCTGGGGCAAAGGAGTACCTTACCAAATTGGCAGCTCCAGGCCAAATTCCAGCAATTTTAGCTTCCATGGAATCTTTTTAAATCAATGTGTCTTTTCAAAATGCAAGTTACGAGACAATTTTCTGAGCAAGTGTTTTTAAAGTAATTGCCCTTTGTGACTGGGATGTCAATAACAACACTTGAAAAGATACACAGCCACCGCAGTGGTGCAGTAAGTAAATGTGGACACGGCCCTTTGTGAGGCAGTGTTCGGGAGTCAAGTGCTTGATGGTGTAAAGTCCAGTTACTCTATAGACAATTTATTACTGATATATCTGAGTATAGGACAGGTTTCATCAAGTGCATTTTCAAATCCAGTTGATCTTTTGTAATGAGTGAAATTCCACAAAGAGGTTATGCAAACAGGAAGCTGTTCTTATCAGTGGCCCAGCTTTGTTTTAAAGACGGATTAAAAGAATTTTCGTAGACATAAAGATCAAGAAGTGGATAAAAGGTTACAAGGAAGTCCTGAGAGAAGGACTAGTTCACAAAACATTTGGGTTTGGGTTTGTTGTTTTTTTTTTCACAGAAAAGCTTGTGAGTTCAGGTTTTGAAGATCCTTAGACGTTGGAAGCAAAATAATACGGCGAGTGAAAGTATTTGCACAGAAGATTTCAAGGTAGAACAACAACTAAAGAAACAAAAGCTATTTTACAAGCAAAGAGAGAAGGGCCCAAAAAACCAAACTGCCAAACACGACTGTGTTTCCTCCTCAGCCCCTGGGCAGCTGAGTAAATTCCAGGAACAGGAAGGACCACCAACCACAGTAGCGTTTTATATGCAGCTATTGAAACCGAACGGTCTACCAGCCAGCGCTGTCCACCGACAGACACCAAACCGACGAATCCCCCCTGCAGCGGTAGATGGCAGCCACGTTCCACGTAAAAACCGAGAGCCCTCAGTTCTAGGAAAAAATTCCCCAAATACACCGGAGATTTTTTTTTTTACTAACTCAACATGAAGCAAAAAATTGAAAGTTGCTTAGTATGTAACTTTTAGGCTATATTTATGCTGCGGTCACTTCTCTGAGCTCAGCCCACAATCATGCCCCTCGTTAGCATTAGAATAGGTAGTTGAGATGCTTACAGCAATATCTCCGCATCCAGTTCATCTTCTTTTCAGTCCACCGAGCTCTATTCTGTTAGAAACACCTGTCCATCATTTCCTCAGCTTGCTGGCTGGCAGCTAGCTGAGGTGTGAGTTGGGCTGGTAGCCATCACTGCTGTTTACACAAATCCTTACAAAACCCTTGCTGGTCAGCAGAAACAGTTATCAGGAAGGCTCAAGTCCAAGTATTTAAAGAAGTGAAAAGAGCTTTTCTACCAGAGAAAGTAGATTGTGAGCTATTCCCCCGTGTGCAAGGACAGGTAGCTTAAAACACTGAAAATACTCTGGGACTGCAGTAAACTTTTTTCTGTCTTTTAGTTATTGAGCCATTCATTAGGCTTCATGCTATCAAGATTTTCTTCTACAACAGTGAATGCTTATTGACTAATAGAAACGTAGAGATCTTCCCAGCTGAAATTCCCATACAGTCATGAAGCTGCATGAGTTGAAGCTTTAAGACTGCAAAACTAGCAACACTGAAAATAAACAAATGAAAGTAACCAAGGGGGTTGCGGGAATGAATGCAAACGGAAAAGGCTCCCCTCATATGGGGAAAGTGGGGATTGTGGAAGTTGGAAGGAAGAGGCAGTTAGCATGGAGACTTTTCTGGAAGAACGCAAGAAGTGAGAGGAGGGAAAGAAAGACGCTGGAGCAGAGGAGATTTAGAAAGAACCATGAGAGTTGTTGTGGGAAAAAAGGGTATGAAGGAAGAACAGCGCACACTCTTCACCATGCTCACAAGACAAGGGCTCCAAGGACAGTCCTGACAGATGAAATATCCACTCCCAACGAAGTATCCACATTGCTCCATCAGTTTTTGCTGACTGCCATTTATGTGCACCACGCCATAATTCGGTAAGCAGATTCCGCATGTTATTCCTGTTACATGATCAGCTGCATCCCTACACAATGGCCACCAGTCTCTATTTACCTGCCCCTTTGTACTTAAATATTGCTTTAAATGTTCAGTGTAATCATAGATTTACCACGTTTTAAAGATTGACAGCTGACTGCCTCATTACAAAATACAGCCCTCTCTCTGTTGAACATAAAGGCTACTTCTGATTTGTCTACAGTGATATACTTAGTCCACTTTTTGGGACGATTTTTAGAAACAAGTTTTTTATTTCAGTTTAATAATTTCTGCTGCTTGTGAGAGTTCTGGTCCAAAGCTTACAGAAATTGCATTAGTTTATGTACTTTCAGTATCTCATCTGGATATTTGTATCTGCAAATTTCTTTACATTCTTTTTTTTTTTATACCCATAATTGAAGCATTAATTGAAGCATTGATTGAAGCATTAATTGAAGACTTTACTCCTGCAAACGTCTTTGTCCTGCTTATCAGTGAAGAGTTTACAGCGTATCTCCAATCTCTCATTCCTATATATTATCCTGTAGTTAAATAAGAGGGCCTTAAAGTATGGATGAAATTTAGCATCCATTTTAAACCCAGTATCCGTAGCGATGTATTTTAGTCCATTCTATCAATTCCATCAGCACTACCATAAACAAAATTCAAAATGCAGATTAGTCTAGAATAATTTTTCTCCCTCTACACTGGACACTGACGGCCATAATACATGAAAAATATAATTTGGACAGAGTTATGTTAAACGCACATACGTTTTAAATTTCATCTCTATAAATCAGGATGCATTGGAACTACCTTTTTTGGTCTTGGATCTTGTTTACACTAGTTTGAGTAGCTAAATCAAGCCTGTGGCATCTGTCATATGCTGTTTGTCACTCATCAAAAATTGCATGTATATTTGCAACTAATAAAGTTGGCAAATTCTTGGATGTTAAAATTATAATTATGGTTAAACCTAGAGGCCAATGCTGTATCGCTGTAAAAAACATATAATGAAGAGAGGGTCGTTACTTCAACAAATTTACAGCTAACTGCTTGTTACAAGTTTTTGTCATCAGAAAAAACAGAGCCAGAACACGGCGATACTGAATCGTGATTATATGCAAACCATCTGGTGCTAAAGATGTTAATTTGACAGCACTTGAGAAACAAGTGAACAAGGTAAGTGTACTTCTGATAACGAATGGGGTGTTATTTTGGTTTTTAAAAAATCCTTTGAATTATTATCTCCTAATCAAACATTAAAACACAAGAGCTCCTAAATGTCTGATCACTCACTTCAAACAGTTAACAGATTAAAAGATATGTTTTCGCTTTATAAAAACATGGGCAATTTGTGCTTGTTATTCAACGGCATTTTGATTTATTTTTTTTCCCGGTTTAGGACCCAACCTCACTCCCAGCCAAATCAATAGAAAAACTTAACTTGAATTTGGAACAGACACGGCGCTAATAATGAAGCAAGCCTCACAAGTCGGTCACGCTAAGTGGAATAGCATGCTTCTTCCGTCTCCTTTCAGTCTGAGACTTCCTTCTGCACTTGACAAACACGGGCTGTTCTCGAGAACAACAGAGACATACTGTTCTTGCTTCCTGTAAGGTGATGTAACTGCAATGCTGAATGGATTAGCACTGATTCTGCATTTTGTGGAAAACGACATTATTTAGAAAAACACTGATTGCCATTCAGACTGTAGCAAGAAACAATAACCTACTGTATCTGGAAGATTAGCAAATATTAACTTTTCCCTGTAAATTAGTCTTCAGTTTGCTCATCATCTTCCCACCCCATTTACCCATTTCTTATCAGCAGGAGCAAATGCCAGGCGTATCTCGTCGGAAAAGGAGACTGCTCAATACAAAAGCAAACAGAGCTAGTGACTAATTTTTCTAATTAGTCAGAATTGATCCTCCGTCTACAGAAGTCATTGAAAACAATGACACAGGAGCAGGCTTCATGCCAATAACTTGATTAGTCTGAACGAGATAAATTTTAACAGGACGGACCTATTGATACGACATATAAACATAACTATAAATACGTTTTCCCTCTCTTCTCCTGTAGCTATTTAATAGAAACCCTAATAAAAAAATATTGAATAAATCATCCGTTTTCACAGTATTTCTGTTCAAAAACAGAATGCAAAAGTCTCAACGTCATTTCCTTTTCAAGTCCACTTCGA